AATTTCAAAATAGGAGAGAGAGAAAATGGAGTTAGGGAAAGAATGGGGAGAATCTCAAATTAAAAGAAGGCAAGAAATGAAAACAAGATGACCTGTGTTCAATTAAATGCATATTTAATTGTTATTTAAATTCATTTTTATTTCAGTATTTAACGGTTATGATTAAAAACAAATATTCACCAACAAATAACTGGACCATGTTTTTGGCAGGACAGATTTTGTTTTATTAGTGTTTTTACCCCACGTGTTTTTACCCCACGTGTTTTTAAAGATTTTAATAATGTGTATTCAATACTCATGTATTGTGAAAAAATACTCAGCAACCTTTCCTTCCACATAACTTAAATTTTTTTTTTCCAAGACGTCCTAACAGCCCCAATGTGGGTGACCCATGTGTGTCACGAAGGGCATCTGTGGGAAAACGTAAAGGTCACCACGAACAATCCACGGGGGTCAGGCCCACCTGCCCACACGTGCGCAGGCCCGCGCACAGCGCGCTAAGGGCGAGGGGCAGGCGGGCCACCGCGCCGGAACGGGTTCCCCACGGCACGGGCTCTTCAGTGCTTACCGCTGAATGACACATTCAGGGACTCCGAGGAGGGTCTGTTTCAACAAAATGCAAGAAATCGAAAGCGGCTTTCTCCCTGTGTGAGTGGAATTTGCAAGTAGCGGTTAGAGACTTGGTTTCCAAGAAAAACACATTTATCTTAATTTCCGTGAGTCAAGGAAACCCAGCGGTCTAGGAGGTTTGGGGCCCTGGGCGCCCCTGAGGCACACGCACGGACAGGAGCCCCCCTCGGCCTCCCCAAGGCCCGGCCCTGGGCCCTGGGGTGCCCAGCGGCCCCCTGGCTGTGCTGTTCTGAAGGGACAAAGCAGCAGCCCAGGGCCTCTGTGCCTGGACAGGCAGCAGCCCCGGGGGAAGCAGGGGACGAGGTGCTGCCGGGCCCGGGGACGTGGGCAGGCTCCCAGCAAAGTGGGCAGAGAGACACGCTGGGTTTCCACAGACAGGGGCCTTTGGAGTCACACACGCTGTGTGTCCCACCCCACCCAGCTTGCTGATGGCTGCCTTGGGACTGACACCCCACGGCAGAGGAGGGGGCGCGCTGAAAAGCAGGGCCTGTGCAAGCCACCGCGGCTACATCCCAACAAGCGTCATTCAAAGGCCCCAGATCGTCAACTGCTACAAGTGACGGTCACTCAGCTGCGACTTCCACCCCCCACCAGCAGCCCTGGGTTCAAAGTCTTGTGACCCGGGGGAGGACGAGGCATCTGGCCAACCAGTGTGATGGAATTCGGCCCCGGAATGGGTTCCTAAACCACACAGCACAGCAGAAAACACAGCCATCTTCTAGAACCCTCTGTCTGGAATTTCCCTGGGCCGAGCTACAAACAGGAGTGTCACCAGAGGAACAGAGAACCAGCTGCTGTCGGTCACCACACTAGGGTTTCAAAGGTCAAAGAGACAACGCCGCCGTGCCCACTGCCCTCCCGCCCCCGCCCTAGCCCTGAGCGTCCGCCTGGTCACTCACTCCAGCCTGCCAGGAGGGGGTCAGGGGCCAGCCATGCCGGGTCCCGCCCCGGGCAGCAGAGACCCGCGGCCGCACAGACAGAGCGCAGCCCTGACATCTCCAAGTCGGGGAGGACCAGACCCCCGACGGGAGGGACACCACTGCGTGGCAAGGAATAACGACCGACAGAACGGCGGCACACAGACGCCTGGGCCGCCAGGAGGGCCCACTCAGGATTCAGCCCTCCCAGAAGAGCGGGGCCCCTGGGAAGACATTCGGGGGCACACGTGGACCAGGGGCAGGCCCCCCAGGGGTGGCAGGCAGCTTGCGTCACCCCATGTCCTGATACGCCCAGTCTGCAGAGGGTCCTCGCAGCAGCCCTTCCTGTAGCCACGGGCCCAGCAGGGGTCTCCGCCAGCACCCAAAGGGCTCAGGGAGCGCCTGCCGGGTGCCAGGGGAAAGCAGGGTGTGGGGGCGGGAAGGCCCGTAAGGGGGATGGCAGGTGGGGTGGGAAGGAGAAGTAGCCAACACACTTCACGGCCACAAGGACTCTCCAGACCACCTTGTCCGTTGCCGCCCCTCCTGACAAAGGAATGGAGACTCTCTGAAGGCCACAGGGCACTCAGCGGCAGCGACAGGCGTCCCAGTGCCAGCCCAGCCACCGCCCACTGCCCCCGGGAGGCCCTGCTCCCCAGGCACGGAGACCCCCAGCCCGCCAAGCCCACACCCTTCTGTGGGCACACCTGTACAGTGTGGGCAAGGGAAGACCCGAAGGAACATCTGCCCACGGCCTCCCTTCTTGCTCTCCCCTCCTTCGGTGCGGGTCTCCAACGGGTGTCGGACCCACCCTGAGCCCCGCCCCGCCCCCGCCTCCTGTCGCACAGGGGTCACGCTGCCAGCTTGCTCCCCGCCCCGCTGCAGGGCCACCACCCACATCCCGCGCAGGCAGGCGCCGGCTCCCCCAGGTCCCTCCTCCAGCCCGGAGCCCGGAGCCCAGAGCCCGCTCCCCCGGCGGGGCCGCCTGGGCCCTGTCCCCCCGCCCACGCTTCAAGCCGTCCCGGACTTGCCTCCTTGCCTGGGGCTTCCCTGCCTATAAAGCTCTGCTTCACTTCCAGTGCAAACTGCCCAACACCTAGCTCTCCTAAACCGCAACCCTGACTGGCTTCCGAAATGCAGAGGGTAAAATAGGCGGTTCTCACAAACACTTCAAGGGGCAGGGGACAAGCAAGCGGCCTTCTCTGGGCCTACTCGGAATTTCAAGCTGGCCCAGAGGCCAGCCCTGAGGAACACAGGCCTCATTCAATCCCTACACGGCAGCTCAAGCCCTGGCTTTATAGATGAGCGCTGTTCAAGGTGAAGGATGAGGGGAGTAACAGAAGCGGGCTGTCTGGCTTTCTTTCCCTTTCCCGCTCCACTCCCAGCTGACATGACAACAACAGGTGGTCTGATGGAACCTAAGGGGACACACACACACACACACACACACACACACACACACACTTGGGGTCGGGGAGGGGAGGGGAGAGAACGTGCGTGGCCCTGAGGCGGGCCTTGATTATTATGAGGGGTGCTCCCAAAGCCCCCTGGGAGAGCAACCCCCGCCCTGCCCCACCGGACACACCGACATCGAATAACCTCGTCTTCGTACAGAACACAACTCCCACGGGGAGGTCACAGGACCTCTCCCTACATTTTGGCGCTAGCGCTAGGTGGGAACTGGATACAGCCTTGTCTGTAGGCGTAATTCTCAGTTTGACGCTTCCTTGCAAAAGGAAAAAGGCTTCTCACACCGCCGTGAGCTGCCCAAGCCTCTTCTGGAGCGGGGCTACCGCGGCCCGCGCGGCAGGTCAGCTCGCAGAGCCCCGGTCCGTCGGGATCTAGCGTGTGCGGCAATGATTCATGGGCGACTGCTGTGTGTCATCCGGGCCGCCAGCTATCGAGAAAGCCACAGCGAACGCTGAAATAAATACAGGAAAACCCTTAAACCGTTGAGGCCAACTACGCCTCTCAGAAGATGAAGTTAGCCGTTACTTTTCTCATAAAAAGGGAGGAGGCCTGGTAGAAGCCACACAGCTCCACGGCAACGGGCGGGAGGGCCTCTGACTCCCGGTGCCACGCCGGTGCAGACGGGCGAAGTGTTCAAACACACAAGAGTGCGTGTGGTCCGGAGGCACGCCTCAGATTATTATTGCTGGTGCCCCCAGGCCCCCGCCCCATATCCCTACGCAGGCAAAGCTTCATTTGGAGCACAAAGAAAACAGCATCCAAGAGTAAGTCATTTTTCTCTTGCCCAGCTCTCGAACACATGAACCGGTCACCACACTCACTGTCCCCAGCCATGCCAACCAAGCTTTCAGAAAGGACCATGGAAAAGAAATCAGAAAGGAAATAGTACCTTCCCCTGTAAAAACAGAGACAAAACCCTTTGTCAGTCTCTAGACCAGGGAGAACCTTCATGAGGAGTGCAACCAATTCAAATGATTGGCTAGTGGTCACCCTCCCGCCTTAAATCACTTGAAACCAGAGGGAAGTCAGCTCAGAGTCACAGCTCTTAAATGCAGGTCATAAGCACAAGTACAGTAAGTCCTCACCTAAGGTCAGGAGTAGACTTGATGCCAAACAAGCATAATGAAACCAGCTCTGCCATAGGCTAACTGGCATAAACAAGAATTAGGTGCCTACCGCGTCTCCTTAGAATAAAACCACCTTGTGTCTCATCAAGGGCCAGGCAGCTGCACAGGCAGCCCCACTACTTAAGGACGGGACCCATTCTGAGAACTCTGTCCTCAGGCCATTTCCAGTTCAGCCCTGCAAACAGTGGGGACACTTGCCCTGCGGCTGCTCCCGGGCACACACTGCCTGCCTTGCGGGAGCTGCAGGAAAACCTCTGCCGTGTTGTCTCATGTGCTCTCTCTCCCCCAGAAAGAGTGGGGAACAGCCCCACCTGGGCCCCGGAGGCAGCGTGCCCGGGGTCCTGCCCAGCAACCCAGGCTCCACTCCCGCGGCGCCCACTGCCCGGGCGAAGCGGCCGTCCCCAAAGGGGCAGGAGGGGCGCCTGTGGTAACCGGAGCTGCGCAGTCCCCCGTCACAGATGAGGCCACCGAGGCACAGAGCTCGCCACGGCCAGGTCAGCGGCCCAGGCACCCACCGGGTGGCCCGGGGTGGACCCGGAGAGTTGAGTCTGCTCCTCCGGGGGGGGGGGGAGTGCCAGAGCCCCGCCAGCCCTGCGCCAACGTCACGCCCGCCCCGCTCTTTCCCTGGCAGTGACAGGTGCGCGGACCACGGAGCCCCGGCAGCAGGTCAGGGAAAGACTCCCTGGCTGCGCACGCTGTTTACGGTCTCCTTCAGCAGCGCCGGGCCGGGGCGCTCCGGCCAGCCCAGCCATTGAAGCCCGACACGAGGGGAGGGGCCGTCCGCAGGCAGCGAGGCGGCGGCGGGCGGGCGGCGGGCGGGCGGGCGGGCCAGGCTCCCCTTACCTGCGGCTCCCCTTACCTGCGGCTCCGCCTGCTGCCTCAGCCTCCATGCTCCCGCTCCTCAGCGACGCGCCGCCCTGCACCCTCACCTCTGCGGCTCCACCCCGCCCCCAGGGCCGCGCCTGCTCCTGCCCCCGGGGCGGCCCTGTCCCCCTCCCCTGCCCCCTGAACTGGAGCTGGTCCTGTGTTCTCACCATCCCTAGTGAGAACACGTGGGCGCGGCTGCTTGCTTTCTGGGTCACTGAGGGGCTGCACCTCACCCGTTTGATCCCAGAGGCAAATGCAAGTGCAAGTATTTTCCTGCCGGGAATGTCTCTCCTAAGGAAGACTGCTGTGCTTTTGGCTAAATAAAACTTCTCTGGTTGGTAACCGTTTTCTCAGGCTTACTAGATTTCATCAGCCGAAGACTGTCTGACATCAGCCATTGCTCAAGACCATTTGTTTTCACAACGGAAACGCAATCAAAGTGCAGACGCAGACCTCAGGACCCATACTTCTCTGAACTGTTTTCATTGTAGAGAGTGAGGATGTGTGTTTTTCCCCCAGGTGGGGAAGAATACAATCGTAGACGTATTACTGTGGCTAGGGAAAGATATATCATCTCTCTCATTTTCTGTTTTATTAATCGCAAAATTAGAGGAAACTTTTAGCACATACAAAAATAAGTGAATTTTGGGGAAGTAGAAATAACAGGACACGGTCCGATTTACATTAAGAAAGAATGAATCATGTCCAACCCTGGAGAAAAGAATGAGAACTGCGGCATCAATACTGGGGAAGCAGCCTCCGCAAACGGCAGTCTCGGCAGCGGAGGGGACCGTTTTCGTGACGCACGACACGCTGACGTTAGGAACCACGCGTCATCATAGCCAGACCCCGCCAGTCAATGCCATTACCAGATGTGACCTGAGAGGCAACCAACTTGACAAACGTGGGCGTTTCTAGTGGCCCGACCCCGCGGACCACTGTGATGGGCAAGCACAGAACTCTGCGAGAACTGGCCACGTGGCATGAACGTGAGCAGCCATCAGTCATTCGAAGGGGCGAAGCCACCCATGCCAGAGGGAGCAGGAGGAACTGGGTAATGCGTTCCCACTTGAATTCTGGTGCTGTCTACTGCAATGTCGAAGTGAGGCAAGTGCGAAAGCGCTGTGCACCCCCGGCAAAACAAGGCGGCCCTGGCTTCCCGGCGCAGGCCAGGGACGGCCACGGGGGACACATGCCACTTCCCAGATGGTCTCTGCAAATAAGCCTTCGGCGCCCCAGGAAGGCAGCAGGTGGCACCTGCCCTGGGCAGGGATCCGCATGCAGAGTGGGGGCACTTTTTCCTCAGGGGCCAACTGAGAAGGCGGAAACACGCGGCCACTCTGACACAGGGCTCCCTGGGCCTGGGGAAGCTCTGCGGTGCTGCGGGGCACTATGCCCCCCGCCCCCGGCCACATCCAGATGGGGAAGGAGAAGTATGTATTTTGCAAGTCGTACTGATCAGCTTTTTAAAATGGTATTTTCAGACTCAAAAAAGAATTTTTTTTTAAATAGTATATTCTGAAAGGCCAACCTGTCGCACGCCATGGCCTCCTCAGCAGAGGAGCCAACAGCAGCACACTGGGCGCCTTTTTGGTTGAGTCCGCCAGTCAGAGGGAGGAGGGCCACCTCCAGGGGCGGGCGGGATGCTGAGAGGACAGGGCTGGCGGGGTTGAGTGGCACGTGGTCCCTCAAGCCCCGCAGGGAGCACTTTCCGCAGGCAGGCGTTGGGCGCGGAGGGCACAGGCTGCCAGGCCTGTGCGAGCCTCCACGGGACCCGCAGGGCTGCCCAGGGCCGGGGTCCGCGCCTGAGCTCGGGAGAACCCCCTGCCCACGCCACAGAGACGGCCCGGGGCGCGGCCAGGCTGGCCTGCCTGAGGGTCTTCCGCCGACAGGCAGTAGGGGGTGCAGTCTGCACTTTAACCAGAAGCTGCACCTGTGGTCTGGTCTTGGTTTTGGTTTCTTTTTCTTTCTTGCCTTCTTTCTTTAAACATATTTTGGAGAATCAGTTTCAAGAGCAACCAAATTTCACCAGGCCGTAATGGCCAAACCCAAGGAGGGGTTGGGGAAGGTGAGCGGGGAGATTACTGAAGAGGGGGACCTACCGGAGCGACTCACAGGGCCACGCGCTGTCCTGGTGTGCCCAGCATGGGGCCGGCCCCAGCACACTTCCGCACCCTCTCCCCAGACACTCTCGGTCCCAGGCAAACCGGGACAGACAGTCACCGAGCTCACGCCTGAATCAGACTGAGCGGCCAACCGACCCAGGCCCAAGGGGCCGGCAAGCCCCAGAGGGCGCTCTGCCCCGACCTGTCGCCCTCAGCCTCCGCGTCCTGAGCCGGCTCCTTCTCAGGGGCATCATCTTACAACCCTCCCCCAACCCGAGTCTCCAGCCTTTAGGGGCCCCAGGACGCTGCAAGGACCATGAGGCTCGAGGAGGCTGGGCACGTCCCCCACAGGAGCCGGAGGCCCGGTGGATCTGTGGGGGGGGGGGGGGGCGCCTGGCGCTCCGAGTGCCGGCCTCCAGGCCGCACCACGGCCATGTGACCCTGGGAGGTGCCCAGGCGCGGGCCCCGCTCCGGTTCCATGGAACCCCGGCCCAGCTGCGTGGTGCTGACCGGTAAGGCTGGCTTTCTGCCCTAACATCTGCTGCTGCTTGGAGCCCGACCTTGGGACGCGCGTGGCCCAACCCCGGGCTCGAACAGTCTGCTCATGGAGAACAGGGAGGGCGAACGGCCGTGCCAGCAATCCCAGAAGGACACTCGCCCCTGGCTGCGCACTGCTAGAGACGGTCAGGGACAGAGAGGCCTCTGCTTCTGCCCTGCCGTTCACTTCAAATGACTCCTGGGTGGCCCATCGGTACGTGCCCCCATGTGGCCAAGGCTCGGACCTTGTCCTTCAGCCCATCGGGGAGGAAGCCAAGGCCGACATTTGTTGTCGCCGAGTCTGGGTCCCAGTGGGCCCGGGTGGCATCTACCGGGGTGCAGCTTTCAGCAAGGAAGGAGCTGGGGTCCCAGAAAGGACAGGGCGTCATAAGGCTGGGAGAGTCTACCCACAGCGACTGCCCACAAAGGCGCACACCCCCCCACCCCCAGGCTGGGGAGAGCTCTGGGCGGCTCAGAAAGCCCTGAGGCCCCCGAGCGCGCCAGTCGGAGACGGAGCCCGAAAGGCCACCTGGGAAGGAGCGGGGGCCGCCCAGACTTGCCTTTCGCCAGCACAACCCTCAGGCACCCGGGCACCCCTAGTCACTGTCACAGCTGCGCCCCTGGACGCTTTGCCTTCTTTGCGAAGCCCTTTATTTTTACTCAGACACACAGAGCATATTTTAAGTTTTTGCAGTTGTGCTGGATGAAGGTGACATAGGACAGACCAAGATTCCTCTGTGTGCGGCAAATTGAGTTACCTATCTTAACGTTTTCAGACTTTAATCTACCTCCTCTTAACCTGAGAAAAGGAACATTCTTTTGAAAACCTTTTACCTCCTTTGCTCTCATTGCAGTATTCTGGGCACAGAGATTGAACGGCTCAAATTACCCTTGAATTCCTAAGGCAACTGTGCCCCTGAAAAACAAATGCTTGTCACCAATGAAATGCGAATACTTAAGTGCCGAGGCAGTCTCAGACGCGCACGGACCCCGGCCCGTCCTGTCGGCTTGCGCTGGCTGGCACCCGCGACTCTGTTTGCTGAAGTACCTGATGATCAGCCGTGATTTGGGGGCGCCCGCTGGCTTCCAGAGTGTGGCCCGCCTTTATTAAAAACGCTGTGAGCTGCCCGGGGCAGTCTTTTCATTTAATTGGATTTGCTTCGTGTATCAGCCTGGCCAAGACAACTGGCACGGAGACAGATGACGGGAAGACAAGGGCTCTGACAGACTGTCTCCAGATCAAGGCGGGCTGGCTGGCACCAGCGGGAACAATGGGACGCTGGGGGGACCTGCGCCCCTCCAGGGGGCCTGTCCTCACGCCAAGGGAAGATTTCCCCAGCCCTTTCTCCAGTTCCACGCGAAGGCCTGCCAAGTGTAAAACGTAAGGCTTGACCTGACAGAGCCAGAGCGTCAAGCCTTCCTTTGCCCAGTTGTCTTTCCTAATTTTAAACAGATTAAGCGGCGATGGGAGCGGAATTCTAAAGCAGGATGTTACTTTTTGTATGTGTACGTTGCTGCATTTTTGGAGGCACCTGGTTTTTTCTCAGGGATTTTTCCCTAAGCGCAACACTTTGGAAAACTTTCTTTTTTTCTTTCGCTGGCTGCTCCCCACGCCAGTGACAGGCTTGTTTATGCCACAGAATTCAATCCCTGTCGGAGGACGGCACTCGCTGCCTGGTGCAGGAGCAGCCCAGCCAAGGAGCCTCCACCCCGAGCCGCACTCGTCGGGGGCCCTAGCCTCCGAGGACTGGGACTCAGAGGCCCAGTCCTTTCCAGCTCGGACCCCTGCTCTGCAGGCCTGAGGGCCGCCCGGGGCGCTGGGCGTCGGAGGTCGCTATTGAATCACAGACCTTCCCCACCTCCGAGCGTGGGTGCAAGGGAGACACGCCGCCGACTCAGGGAGCGGGCCCTCTGACCCTTGGGTGCGTTCCAGGCGAAGCTGTTTTCTTGGTGTTTGCCCATCTTCTAACTGGGTCGTCTTTTTCATAATGAGTTTTGAGAGTTCTTTCCATAGTCTGCACACGACGCCTTTGTCAGAAATGCGATTTACGACTATTTTATCCTGGTTTGCAGCTTATCTTTTCACCCTCTCAAAAGGTTCTTTCGCAGAGCCAAACTTCTTAATTTTGATGAGGTCCAGTTTCATCAATTTTCACTTTTACGGATCATGCCCGCTTTTGGTGTCAAGTCTAAGAACTCTTTGCCCAGGGCTCAATTTTCCCCCCCTTTCTCCCTAGAAGTTTCATAGTTTCCCACATTTAAGCCTGTGACCCGTTCTGAGTCATTTTCGACACAAGGCATGAGGCTCACGTTGAAGGTTCGCTTTCCTGCCTGTGGGGCCCGGCCGCTCCAGCCCTGCTCCTTGAAAGGCTCTCCATCGTCCACCGGGCGGCTGCCACGCCTGT